GATCTGCAACCTATACAACTATGAGACCAGAAGAACTAGATGGTGCCCGGCTACCACTGTCATCCCCTTGGAAGGGATGTAGGAGATCCTGGATAGAGAGGGAGAGCAATTTGGAACAAAACTCAAAATCATTTGGAGGCAAAAAAAAATAAAAATAAAGAAGGTGAAGACCAGGTTTGCTGGCCCAATAGAGCCTGGTGGAACCACTGAGACTATGGCCCCTAGCTGACCTTCAGGTCTGGAATTGAAACCACACCTGTGGTTGCCAGCCAAACAATGTACAGTCATGTGAGTTAAACATTTACCTCAAGTAGACACATGCCCTAGAGTGAACAATCATGGGAGAAGGAAGGGTTGCTTATGCACAGGGAGACAGCTCAGGGCGCAGGAGAGTATAGAGGGATGGTCACTGGGAAGAGGTAACAATGGGGAGGAAGTGGGAGGAGAGCTGTTTCATTGTGGTAAACTGTGGTCAATGACATGAGACAAAGCATATGTGAACTGCTGTATAGAATGTGAATTTGCTCTGTAAATCTTCACCCAAATCACAATAAACTTTTAAAAAATCAAAATAATAATAATAATAATCTTGAAGATTTTCATGTGTTTATGTGCCCATCTATTTACAAATTTTTCTATTGTCTCTCACTTATTTCTAGCTTAATTCATTATAGTCACAGAAAATACACTATATGATTTTAATTATTTTAAATACACAGAGACTTGTTTCATAGCCAAGGTTATGGTTTGTCTTAGTAAATGCTCTATGTGACTTGATAAGAATGTGTACTCTGATGTTGCTGGGTATAGTGTGTACACATGCCTATTAGATCCTGTTGGCTAATTGTATTCAGTTCTCTATTCTCATTGATTTTTTGCTTAGTAATCTGTGGTAGCTAAGGACTGTGCCTTGTTACTTGTCAACCTTGGGCTTGTCAGCCTTAGCAGTCAGTAGCTGCCTACGGTAGAAAAGCCTCCAGCTTCAGTGGTCTGGGAGCAGGAGGCAAAGCTGAAACCCAAGGTTGAGGTGTTTTCATCCAGTCCCTAAAGCCTGGCACTTTGAACCTGGACTTCTAGCTTCCAGACTTGTAAGAGAATAAACTCAAAATTATACTGAGAGATATATTCACCTTTCATTCTACTCTGAAACACATGAGATCCACTCAATTGCAGCTGTTTTTCTCCAGTTTGTTACTTTTATTGGACCCATTGTGGTAGCCATTGTTCAAGGCATCCTATTTGTGGTATATTTCCTGTTAGAATGGCACAAGGTAACCAAAACATAATTCTACCACCTGCCTACAGGGGATGTTGAAGTTCCCAAATATAATTGTGGATTTATCTATTTCTTCTTTCTCCTCTATAAGGTTTCTGTTTCATTGTTTTGAGATTCTGTTACTTGGTCCATATACATTTAAGAATATCCTGTCTTCCGGTGTCCAGTAAGTTTTTAATTGCATTGTTTTATTTTAGAACTTCTATTTGGTTCTTTTTCAAATTTGACTTGTCACTTTATTAAAAATTACTATTCTCTGGATATATTTTCCAGTTTTTCATTTATTTTTTTTAAATACATTTTTTTTTTAATTTTTTTTTAATTATTATTTTTATTGTGATTTAGGTGAAAATTTACAGAGCAAATTCATTTTCCATGCAACAGTTCCTACACATTTTGTTTTATGGCATTGATTGCAATTCCCACAATTTAACAACCCTCTTTCTACTTCCTCCCTGTGGCTACGTTTTCCCTGTGTCTTTCTTTTCCATGCATTCCTGCCCTCTAACCTATCTCCCTGTGCAAATACACTCCTTCTGATCTCCTGTGGTTGGTTGTTCTAACGAGTGTGCTTACCTGACATAAGTTTACCCTATACATTTGTCTATTGTTTGGTGGGAAGCCGTGGGAGTGACTAGGGGCCATAATCTTGGGGGTTTCACCAGCCTTTATCAGACTAGTAAACTTGGTCTTTTTTTTTTTTTTTTTTATGATTTTGAGTTTTGTTCCACGTTTTTCTCCCACTCTCTCCAGGATCTCCTATTTTGTTCCCTTTTTGAGTGGTTGACAGTGGTAGCCAGGCACCATCTAGTTCTTGTGGTCTCAGGGTCATGTAGGTTGAGGTTTGCACGTTCACTAGTCCATGTGTCTTTGGTTTTCTTTGCTCTTCTTTGCTCTGGACGAGTAAAGACCAATTGTTGCATCTTAAATAGATGGCCACGTGCAAGCTTTTAAGACCCCAGTTATTCTCCAAAGTAAGATGTAGACCAATGTTTTTGTGTAGTATGTTATGCCAATTGAGGTTGATGTTCCCCCGACTATGGTCCCAAAGCCACAGGCCCAACAACTCACTCCCTCAGGGTGGCTGGCTGTGGCTAATAAGTTATCATAACTCTACCCCATGTTAGCTCTATTATATATATATGGACATTTTTATAGCACATACAAATACATATGTAGAAATATAATCTACCAGCCTTATATATAAGGAGCTCTGGTGGCGTGGTGTCTAAGGCTAACCAGAAGGTTGGCAATTCAAACCCATCAGCCACTCTGAGGAAGGAAGATGGAACAATCTACTTCCATAAAGATTTACTGCCTCAGAAACCCAAAGGGGGTCGCTATGAGTTGGAATCAACTCGATGGCAGTGAGTTTGGTTTGGTTTGGTTAAATGTTATATACGGTCATGAATATTTTCCTTTTTGTGTAGATATACCTGATTGTTCAGCCTGTTAACCTATATATCCACCTGTAGACTAGTGTTTGCTATTCCTATTTAATCTTTGAGTTGCTGTTGTGAATTTAATCCCATATAGATAGATCTTAAAAGGCTCAATGTTCAAGGCATTCTTTTTTTTTTTTTTTTTTTTAATTGTGATTTGGGTGAAGATTTACAGAGCAAATTCACTTTCCATACAGCAGTTCACATATACTTTGTCTCATGTCATTGATCACAGTTTACCACAATGCAACAGCTCCCCTCCCACTTCCTCCCCATAGTTACCTCTTCCCAGTGTCCATCCCTCCATACACTCCTGCCCCTTGAGCTGTCTCCCTGTGCATAAGCAGCCCTTCTTTCTCCCATAGTTGTTCTCTCCAAGGAGTATATATCTTCAAGGCAGACATTCTTTACTAGTTAAGTGAAATTATTGTTTGGTTTTAAGAAGATTTCTGGGGATATATTTGGTTTAAAGATTATCTCAAGACAGTAGTTTCAGGGGTTCATCCAGCCTCCACAGCTCCAGAAAATATGGATTCCATGAGAATTTTAAATTCTATTCTGCATTTTTCCCCTTTTGATCAGAATTCTTTTTATAGAATCTTTGATCAAAACATTCAGTAATGGTAGCCTGGCACCATCCAGTTCTGGTCTCATGGCAAAGGGAGCCGTTGTTCTTGGAGGCAATTAGCCTCCTTATGTGAAGAATTTTGAACTGTAAAAATGCACAGTAAAACTGTGATATTTTCTTGAATAGATTTGTAAGTCTTATGGACAATCCTATTGATAATAACCAATGTCAAGATGGTGAAGAGATGGAAAGTGAACAAGACCGCCAACATTTTGATAAAGAATTTATGAAAGCCTATATTGAAGATCTGAAAGAAAGAGGTGGGTTACTCTTATTTACAATTATTTAAAATGAATATATAAAATTCTACTTACTCATACTTATCGTTAAAACAACAAAAAATCAAATTAATAAAAAGTTAATTGTCTAGGGTACAAGTTACTAAACTTTATAAATTATTTTTCCATTTAGAAAAAAAACCCACATTTCTTTAAAATACTAAATTTCCCTTGTGCATTTGAATGCTTAATATATCTTCAACTATTTTACAGAGAGACTGGGAAACACATTTAAAATGCAAGAGTAACTGTGTTAGGCTGAGTTCTCTAGAGAAGCAAAACCAGTAAAACTTACATAAAATACATACAGAGAAAGAGAAATTTATTTTAGGAAAATGGCTCACACACTTATAGAAGCTGTTAAGTCCCAAGTTCTTGGATCAAATTTCAAGCTGGAGCCTTTTCCCTACTCACACAGCTGCAGGGGCTGATGAGCTCAAGGTTGGCAGGCAGTATCCCAGCTGTTGACTCCAATGAATGACAAATACAAGATCTCCAGGCCGAATTGTTTGCTCATGGACAGTTGTAGGCAGCACAACAGGATCCCAATCCACAGAAGAGTGTCTCTTTTCCCAGGATGTCCATAAATATATTGGAAGCAGACCACACCCCTAGGGAAACTCCCTTTCAATGGATTGGCTGCTCAAAACACATATATCCAATCCCATCATGGAAATAACCCACATCACAATTGCTTAAACTACGCAGAATTGTGGTCCAGACAAGTTGACACACAGCTCCAACTATCACAGTCACATTGCTAACTGTGCATGAGTTTTTAACTAAAATAATATTTACAAAAAAGTTTTCTAAGTTAATGGGAAAATAAGATTCAATTTTTAAAAATCCAGTTAAATTCAGCTTTTGAAATATAAACCATATATAAAAAATTCACAAAAGGAAAAACACAAGATAGCATATTAGTAAATAGATCCATGTAGTTTTGGTGTCCATAGGGTGGTGATAAAATGGAGGGACACAGGAAGTCAAAGTACCTCAGGAAAGGATGAGAAGTGTTCTTCTCTGAGCCAGGTCCCAGTGGCTATTTTCAAAGAGGTTGAGTCATTCTAATAGTGTTCTGAAAGGTGAAGAGCCTCTTTCCTCCTGTCACAAGCACATACTCAGGAAAAAAGCATAATAAACTAGTCTTTATTCTTCTAACAACCATCTCCTTCTGTAAGAGTATGCCAGAGAATTATCACTTCATTTTGAGTTTCTTTTTTTTTTTCTTCAATAAACTAGGTTTAGACCTGACAGAAAGAAAGACTCCCTGTCTGTAGATTTAGGGAGGAAGTAGCATGGGCACCCCTTTGCTTCTGAAGATGAGCTTCTGTGGGCAGTTTCCCTCAGTCACCCTCAGAAAGCACCGTGCACATGAACATACTTGTCACTTGTTAGTAGTAGTCCGAAGATGAGTAGTCATATTCAGATATTTGAAGATTTCAATGACATTAAGTTAAAAATGTCATTTACTTGGATAAGTAGGAAAAATTTCAGTTTAGTTGAGAAAATTTCTATACAGTTACTTCTAATTTAGTTCACGGCCTTTAATCTCGAGTGGTTAAATATTATGAAGTAAATTAGAAATTTATGTTAAAAGTGAATCTGAAATACAGAAACATTTATTTCCCAAAATGTTATCTTTGGCCTGTGTAATTTTCCTCTCATAAGAAAACCTTTACTATATTCATTTTATTTATTCATAATTGTATTTAAGCACTCTTGTATAAAAATGCAAGGAGAATTAGAGAAAATAGGTTTTAACTTTTGGATCTATGTGGCCAACAATAAAAGAATTTGCTCTTAAAAGTTAACTTTAGTGATGATAGATTTTGAATTCATTCACTTATTTCTAAATAATTATACTAATTCTGTCCTTCATCTATCCACATTAAAGTGAACCAAATTATATTGCCAATATCTGGCTAGTTTTAACCTACACAAATGGCAATTCTTATGCCTCAACCTATACGGCAGGGCATGCTTTTTGATATTTTAAAAATGTGTTTGTTTTATTTTCTTCATTATGGCATCTTTCCTCTTTTCCCTCCTTCCATCAGACTTCCCAATCAGACTAGTGTCTGAATCACTCACAGTCCATGACTACCAGGAAAAAAAATCTTTAGTCAGTCCACATGGGCCTGTAACCACTTGTGATTCAAGAATGATGGGCAGTGAAGCTCTTCAGTGGTCTTCAAATTTTAGTGAGCATTAGAATCTCAAGGAGGCCCCATTACAGTGTTTCAGACTCAGCAGGTCTGGAATGGGGCCCAAGAATGTGCATTCTGACCAGTTCTCAAGTGATACTAATGCTGAAGAGAAAATTTGTTGAATTTTTCTTTTGACAAAATTTGACCTGTGAAAGGAGGCAGTAACTTACAGGAGGAGCAAGTTTGAGAGAAGGTTTACTTACTAAAATTGTGCTTGATTTGGGAATATCCCAAATTTATCTTATAAATTACAGTCCCTTCCACCTGTTATCCATAGCCTCTAGACAATGACTGTCTATTGCTATCTTGTCAACCTTTTTTCATTGCTGTAGAGTCATACAGTTTTGAAGATCCTGATGTAGTATTAGTTTGTGTTTCATGTTAATTGGAAAGCTTTCAAAGAAACAAGAGTTACTTTTATCCTGGATTTAAACATTTCTAAAGCTTAACTATACGTTTGTGCTGACTGACTTAATGGTGATAAAGGCATTATTTCTACTCTTAAAACATGCAGTGGTGATAATTTATGTGTTGAAATAGGCCATGAAATGTATTTACATCTTATAATAAGATAGGTAAAGTTTGAGTATTTCTTTTTCCCCTTTGTTACAGAGCATGTTCCCAGCTATACCACGAAAGTATCTTTTAGCCTTCAACTCTAAGGTCACCCATTGGAAGACTGCAAAATCTTGCTATCCTGTGGCACTATAAAACTATGTGTTATAGGTCATGTCATACAGGAATAATAGTTCATGCTTAAGGACAAAGCATAGAAATGACAGTCATTGTTAGGCAAAGGATTTTTCAAATTTCAAATATATGAATTCCTCCCTCCTTGGACTGAGGACTGGGAAATGAGTTTATATGTTGATAATTGTAGGTTTGTTTGAATGCAATTCTTTCCAAGCAGTGCACATTTATTATTTTAGAAAATGTATTATATTTTAAAAATTATAATTTGAAGACCAAATTCTGGTGTTGATTGCATTGTTTTCAGAAATCAAGGGATAAAGCTGTTGTAAAAAAGCATTTATATTGGAATAGTCAGATGAGCATTTATTTTGAATGAGTTTAATGGGTTATTTCTTTTACTAAGAATAATGTTCCTTGAATTTATACAAAGTGCTATTTCTGTAATTTTAAAATCATATTTTGGCAAATGGAGGCTCCCCCTCAAGCCCTCAGGAGGGACTTAGGTATAAGTTGAGCCTGGAAGGTAGTTAGAAAGGCTGGAAAGTCTGCTCGTGCATTGGATGTGAGATGATCAGATGGTGCGCTGGTGGCCCTGGTCCAGGATGTGTGGTCATGGCTGGCCACAGGAAACCTTCAGTGGCCTACGCAGATGGCCATTCTGCTCGGAGTGAGCACCTAGAGGATCCTGGGACAAACCTCAAAGTGAAGAATGGCACTGCCCTCAGAACCCTGCCTCCTGATTTCACCCCAAGGTGGCCTTGTAGGATAATGTGGAAAACTAATCCCCAATGACGAAGAATCCGTAGCAAGCCTTCCTTGTGGGTACCACAGGAGAATTCTGCCCATGACCAAGATGCAGCAACCTGGAGAGAACCCATGAAACTGTATTTCCATTGGCAAAGATGGGATTTATTATAGGCCGTTGGACTCTTACTTCCCAACATATGAGTTGGAGGAATCTCTATTTTTATACCATTGCCTTTGGATGAAACAAACAGGATTGTGACTGATTGCCTTCAATAGAAGCTTAAGCAAGTAGCTTATTGTCAGCAAGGAAGAAAGAAATGCATATATTCACATGTATTTATAATTGATTTGACTACTGTATAATCCAGAACTTTCTGTAGTAATGGGAATATCCTGTAGCTACGCCATCCAATGCAGTAGCCACCAGACATATGTGGTTCTTGAGCACTTGAAATGTGGCTAGTGCAACTGATGAATTAAATTTTAAATTAAATTAAATTTAAAGTGTAATAGCCACATGGCTACAATGTCAGACAGCACAGATCTAGCCACTTGGGTTTTTTGGAAGTTAATCAGGGCTAGAAATGAAGGATGATTTTTTTTTTCTTCTTTTGTCTGAAGATCCTGTCTGTGCCCAGAGAAATGCCTTTAAGAAGGGCTACTTTTGATATCCCAGTATTTTATCTCAGGGGGCTTAGTCATAATTACAAATGTTACCCTCAGTAGACATAAAACGGAACATAGTAGAAACCACTGATTTATAACAATCAGTAGAGGATCACTTCAACCGAATAACAAACTATGAGAAGTAGGTTAAGAGATTAAAAGAATAGAAAATTGAGAAATCACTTTCCTTGAACCTTGAACAACTGTGTTTTTCTTTTTAACACTTTCAAAATATAGTTCAAATTATTAGTTATATTACTTGACTAATTTTGGTATTTTATTCCATGCCAAGATAGATATTATATATAGTCAAATGAAAACTGTATCTGAAAAGGGGGAAGTGTGGGCTTTCATACAAATTGGCTGTGCATCTTTTATGTAAATTTTATTTAATAAAAATCAGTCTTTTGTGCAAAAACTTTGTCTTGGTGTTACAAATAAATAAACAGAAAAAAAAATCATAGTATTGATATGTAATTCTTTTGTGTTACATAATATCCCCAAACAATAATATTGTTTGAATATGATGCTTAGTGATACTATTTCTATAATTATTCATATAAATTTAAAGATGCAGAAAAATTCTAAAGTAGGATATGTATCTTAGTGGAAATATGCTATAGAATTAAAAATTATAATTATAAATTTTACATCATGCATATGGACTGATACATAATTTGAAAAAGTCACAATAGACTATATATGAACATTACTACAATATAAATGACAGAATAAAATATATTTTTTAGAAGAAAAATAATGTTCTGATTCTAAAAGCTTATCTCTGTGACCATTTTTCATAAGTAGGAATTAAGTGAAGTCATTGAGTAGTGCATTTTAATTAATAGCAAGATCACAAGTTTCTTGATTCCAGTTTTAATTTTATTTCCTCCAGGTCTGTGCACCTTTCCCATCCACCTGTTCCTTTGTTTTAATTGTAATGCATCTTAGAAATAATAAGCCATAAAATAATAATTGGTAACATTCTCACTTCCATAGTCATCTCAGTCAGAGTTGTGGAAGGATCCAACTTCTTTCTACAGAAAGAGACAGAGAGGTCCTTAGAATTCTAGTGACTGGATGCGATGGGAGATGGACCACTCTAGTTTCTGTACTAACTCCTTAGCTCTCACTCTGGCTTAGAGGTGTCCTTCTTCTGAGGACTTGGCTAGTTATTTGCCTATTCTGATAATTCACTTAAAACAGACAATCATATAATGTTTGGGTTTTTCTTTCTTTCTTCTTCTTCTTCTTCTTTTTTTTTTTAAATAAAAGCTTTAAAAGGAAAACCTTGGGGAAAGAGATAATTGAGGTCTTCCTAATCTTGTACATGAGATTTCAGTAACTGATGGATAATAACAAACCCAAACCAAACTCACTGCCGTTGAGTCAATTCTGACCAATAGCAACCTCCATTGGGTTTCCAAGACTGTAAATCTTTGTGGAAGGAGACTGCTTCATCTTTCTTCTGTGGAACAGTTTGTGGGTTTGAACCACTGACCTTTTGGTTAATGTTGTTGTTGTTGTTGTTATGTGCTGTTGAGTCAGCCCTGACTCATAGCGACCCTTCCATGGGTTTCCTAGGCAGTATCAGTATAGAGGTGGATTGCCCAACCTTCCTTCCGAGGAGTGGCTGGTGGGTTAATCTCCTCTACCTCCCCTCAAAAAATACCAAACTCACTGCTGTCAAGTCAAATCCAACTCAGTGACTCCACCTTGGGTTTCTGATGTAGTATCTCTATGGAAGTAGATTGCCAAATGCCTTATTCAAGCTGTAGACATATCACAACCACACTACAAAGAAAAGACCAAAGTATCACTTATCAAGGCACAGATGAAAGAAAAGAAGTTGAATAGAGGGACCATTTGGGGTACTTTCCAAACATGGATTCAGGGTTAAGGTAAGATGATTGCAAATGGCAAGTTCTGAAAGTTGGGTTACTCTTTTTCCTTGTCTGTCCACTTCTATTCTTTCCTGTCACAATTCATCTGCTATTTCTGAGTGGAAAGGACATTTGACATGTACTTATTTGATTTCATTATATCAGATTTAAAATCTGATCTTTAAAACTTGAAGTGGTGCCAAACTGCACTATTAATTATTTTTGTTGTTTGGTGCCACGTGGTGGTTAAGTTTGTGTGTCAACTTGGCTGGGCTTGGTTGAGTGGCTAGGCAGCTGGATGTAGTTATTCCCCGTGGTGAGACTGGTAATTAACTCCATGGTGGAATCTATTGGAGCAGCTGAGTAGCTGCTTTTGGTATGTGGTCTGCTTCCCATATATAAGAAACAGCTTTGGGAATGGTCTCTAGCTTATGGCACCCTTGAACCCTGCATATAGCTGTGTCATTGTTGGGAAGCCTGCCATGCTCTGCCGACCTTGGGACTTTCAATGAATTTGAATTAATGGTCTGCCATGTGGTTTGGTAACATCGGGACTGTGTCTTTTTACTTACCAACCTTGGGCTTGTCAACCTCAGCAGGCAGCAGCTGTCTGAGTGAAGAAAAGCCTCCAGCTTCAGTGGGCTGGGAGTAGGAGGCAGAGCTGAAGTCAAGGTTGAGGGGCTTTCGCCCAGTCCCTAGAACCTGGCACTTTGAACTCATACTTAAAGCCTCCAAACTGTGAGAGAATAAACTCCCATTTGTTCAAGCCATCCCATTTGTGGTATATTTTTGTCAGAGCGGCACTAGGTAACTAGAACATGCTGCTATGTTGGTTCTGGCTTGTAGTGACCCTGTGTACAACAGAATGAAACGCTGCCTGGTCCTGTGCCATCCTCACAATCATTGCTATGCTTGAGCCCATTGTTGCAGCCACTGTGTCCATCCATCTCATTGAGGGTCTTCCCCTATCTTGCTGATGCTCTACTTTACCAAGCAGGATGTCCTTTTCCTGGGACTGGTCTTTCCTGATAATGTGACCAAAGTACAAGAAATGAAGTCAGGCCATTCTTGCTTCTAAGGAGCATTCTGGCTGTACTTCTTCCAAGGCAGATTTGTTTGTTTTTCAGTCATTCTGTGGTATAGTCGATATTATTATGCAACTCAAATATGTCCCTTTAGTATATCTTGCTATATCTGCAGAATGAGAAATTTAGATCATTGAGTCATTTTATTGCAGTGTAATATACATTTCAGATGAAGAAAATTAATAGCTGGTATTGGACCTTAACACCACCCCTAATTCAGAGAAAAAGTTGTGAGAAGGAGAAAGCAATAACTTTAGAAATACCTCAAGGAAGCCTAGTTAGTAATCGGCAAAATGGTTTCCCCAGAGGACAATAAGGAAAAGAAAACACCCCATCACTTTTCATTGCTTAATGCTGCTCATAATGGAATTCATCTTAAGCTATGGGTTAAATGTTATGTAATCAGCGTTTACTCCCAAATCTTCTACGTACAAGGAAAGAAATTGGCTGAACACTGGAACCAAATAAGAAAGGTACAGAATTTAAAAGATGAACTTGCCTTGATTGTGAAGTTTGCTAGGGAGACCAAGTAGACACAAGGCTGAGCTAGTATCAGCAGAGTTATGGTCTTGATGGAAGGATGAACCA